TTTAATTCCTGAAATCATTCCCCAAACTGGTGAACATTTCTCAGTGTTAGAGAAGAACACAAGCCCTCCCACGTAAGTGAGCTGAGTGGGGGGCTGCAGTTCTGGTCACTGTCAAGGGTAGACTAGGAGAGGAAAACACATGCACAGGAGGTTATTAGTCCACATTTTATCCAAAACTGTAGCGTGTGCTTTGGGTATCTCATCATGTGCTTGTTTGGATGCATTCTGTACTATACAGTTTGTGTTTAAGAATCAGAAGTTGTACAAAATCCCAAAGAACCCTGCCACAAAGTCCCTCGTATACTCCAAATTGGGTTCTTATTGTTATAAGCAACTATTTAGTTTTATTTCAAGAAGGAAATAAAAATCCACAGTGTAATATGGCCACATACTGCCCTTGACGAGGCTTTATGTGAGATTTACAGAGGTGTCTCAGTCTCAGTCTCAGTCAGGAGACACTCCAGGTTGATTTTATAGTTCAGTCGCTCTGGTTGAGGGTCTACCCACCTTGTCACTACTGAGCTTCTGGGCTGGATATTTGTCGTGTGGGACTCTCGTGCCTCGTGGGATGTTCAGCAGTATCCTTAGATGCTAGTAGCACGTCCCTCAATGTGTGACAACCAATGCCTCCAGACATTGCTGTGTGTTCTCCTAAAGGGACAAAGACACACGCAGTGAGAACCCCTGCTTTACCTCGTTGTTCCCCAGAGATCAGGAGACTGGGACAGTTCCTCTTCACAGATACTCTGAGTAGACTGCATTTAGCGTCATCTCCTCCTTCCTGAGGATATCAGGTTTCTTTAACAAAAATATACTATGTACCTGATACAGTGGGCGAGTTAACTGCTGAGGAGAAAGAGCTGAACTATATTCCAGGACTGAGAGAATTTTAAGCTTTTATGGTGGTGTTCCTTCAGCAACCTTCAGCAAATCAGATGAAAGTTCTGTTTTTTCCTGCTTGGCAGAAAAGTGCATTTTTGCTCCTGTTGCTCCTGCCCCCTTGAAGGGACTGTGGATTCAGCATCTAGACGACTTTCTTTTGGTTTTTAGGAACAGAACTCATTTCCCAAAACTGACCAAGTTTTCTTATGTTACTGCTTTTCTGCTTTGAGTTTTTGTATACAGTTGACAAACTCCCTGCGGATAATGTTGAAGCATGAGTCAGACTGTTGGTAGAAAGCTTTTTCAGTAAGAACTGCTCTAGCTGCAGAATTCCCGTGCTCCATTGTTCTTTTATAATGCTTTATTAATTCTATTATCTCATTTCTTTCTTCAGAGTGCAGCTACTTTGCAGTATTTCTTGCGAGTAGCATGTGTCTCATAGGTCTGAAAAAGACACTCAAGCAGGCTTGCCAATTGATCTGTTTTTGTAGGCAAAATGTCACTAAAAGTACAGGAACAAATGTTAAAATGGCATTGAAATCAAGCAGAAATTTCTGGTTTAGCATACCCATTCCATTATTATACTCAATCCAACATATGAAAATAGTAGCCCTCTTGTGGTCCCCTCTGCATTATTTTATACAAAGCCATCAATTACCAGGTGTCATTCAATTGGAATTGATTCCATTTGGTTATTTATGGAATTTTTAAGTGGACCCATTTATAATTTTAATTTTTTAATTAAAAATTTAAAAATCTAAAATAATGATCATTTATGAATTATTCTAGGGAATAACCAACAGTAAACAAGGACCTAATAGTTATTGAGCTGAGAGATTAAAAATGTAAATTCAAGGCTGCTACTTACAGCTAGAGAAAAATTACAAGTCTCCCCTAAAACA